AAAGCCATCTGGGGTGTGCTGGGACTAGCTGAATCTCATCACCTTTCAAGCAGACCGAGACCCTCGCCCTTCACGATGAGCTCCTCGAGTCTCACATCCAAGGTCCCTGACCTTCCAGAGGAAGCAGGGGGAAGCATGCGACAGCAGGAAGTGGGCTGGCCATCCTGGTGCATCTACCTGTGGTCTCAAAAGATGCAGGGACAGCGTGAGACTGAATAGCCTTAATCAACTCTGCAGTGCTAGCATCCCTGGTTACAGTCCATCCGCTTGTCCCCAAGGGTGACTTCCTCTGGTCTGTGTGTCCCCAATCTCGAGGTGCCTGACTCAACTCAGAAACTGAGGACAAGCCAAGGGGTTTGGCAGCTTCACCTGGAAACTACTGTGGGTGGTGCACCTTTGTACCTTGAAGGAGTTGAGATGTTCACCCAGCTAGGTAGCGGAAACAGAGAATAAGGGCGTGCTTTGTAAGGCAAGTCTAATCTGGAGAAAAAGACTGCACTCCAAATACTGGATGCCTCAGCCCATACTGCAGGAATCGAGTTAGACAGCTAAAACACAGAAAAAATAAGAACCTAAAATAGATCTCTGAAAATACCAGTTGTTATCAAACGTACTAAGGGGTGGCGCTCTCCTCATTTTACAAGATATGATCAACCTTATTTTGAGGTGAAAAGAGGCATGAATGAGTCCTTTTGGAAACACAGCTATGAAGGAAGGAAAGAAGAATGTATCTGAGGAATTTCCTGTCTGCCCAGGCTGGGCAAACATTGGCTGCAATGAAGACTGCACTAAGGGATCCTCCCCTCTCAAATGCTCTGTGTCCAGGGGGGACTAGGAAACTTTAAAAGGCGAGGAATTGAAAAGAAACACCCATCAGGCAAGGGCACGGAACTGACCACAAGAGGGTCTTCGGAATGGAGCAGACAAGAGGTTTTCTTTCTCAATGGCCTCAATAACCTGCTTTGGAAAAATAACCCCCTGCAGCGGAGTATTTTCACCCAGTTTTTGGAGTGCCAGGCCTCTGTGGTCTTCGCACATTTTCCACTTTGCGGCACTGGCAAGCTAATCCCAAGCCTCAGGGGCTGTCCAAGTCACCAGGGCAGACTTCTCTCCCATCGCGCGCCTTGGCTGTGGGGACAGCGGCTGGGCTAGCACTTATCTTCCTGGCACAGAAGCATCTGTGGTGTTTCTGGCCTCCCTCAGAGGGGCGGCCAAATGCTGGGGTGTGGGTTTGACTTCGGCTGCCCCCCCCCCCACCCCCAGCACCCAGATTACGGATTCCACGTAGGTGCAACAATCCCTAAGACTCTCCAAGAGACTGAACTCTGCTGAAAGGCCTCTGCAGCTCCACAGCAGGCAGGGAGGGAGGATGGGGGGAGAGGGAAGAAAAGAGAGCAAGACTGAGAATGAGAGGTCTTCTTTCACTTGATCTTTTTAAAAAGCATCTTTTTTGTTTTTTTTTTTTTCTTTTCTTTTTTCTTTAGCCAAGACCCAAAGGTAACAGGAACGAACCTGATCAAAGTGGCAGGAGGAAAAAGGGGAACCCGAACCCTTCTGTAAAAGTATTCTCTTTCCTGACCAGTTGGGCTTGCCGTACTTTGTGAGATTTGGGAGAAAAAAAAAAAAATATATATATATAATAGATATATATTTCCATAGGAATACAACATCAGATGTCTTCCTCTATATGAACGATGAAAAGTCAAACCGTATATTCTTAAAGAAACAAAAATGAAAACACCATGAAACTAACAATAGGGGGAAGGGTGAGGTGAGGAATTACAGATGGAGAGATCCCAGCTGGGAAGGGACTGTGACACGCAAGTGCTAGGCTCGTGCCCTCCAGAATGCCAGCCTGCCTCTGCGGGATAGTTTATCTAAGGTGCTCTAGGTCCCCTGTAGCCTGCAAGAGAAGTGTCACTGCCATGTCTGGTCTCTTCCTTTCCACTCTCCTTGGCTCGCCTGCTCCCCACGTCATGTCACGCCTCCCGCGATCCTGGTGGGCGAGGGTTCCCTGGGCTACCGGCCGCTGGGGTGGTGTGCTGGTGCCCTCAGCATTCGTCTTCTTGGTATATTTGTTCATCCAGCTCCTGGGACTCAAGGTGTTCCAGACGGTCTGTTCGGCCACTCATGATCTCGTCGGGGGTTTTCATAAACCTTTGACAGTGGAAAGGAGAAGTTGAGAGATTATGTTTTCCTAAAGTTGTCTTTACCATGAACTCTAGCCTTTAAAGAAGGGTCTCAGGGCCAGCAGGTGGCATAGTGTTTAAGGCACTGGACTCCCACATGGCTGATTAGGGTTTGAGTCCTGGACCCAGCAGCTTGAAACTTACGCTGAGTGCATGTGCATGCCTAAAATCCCAAGAGGAGAATGGAGGGGGAGGGACTGCCGTGTGGTCATCTCCCATGGGGGGTGATTTCTTGCTTTCTGTCTCTCCATAAAAGCACACTCCCTATAGCAAAAATCTCTCAAAATAAAGGAAAGGTCTCTGACTGGTGTGCTGTGTAGTTAAGGAGTAGGATCCCACATGGCTGACTGTATGGTTTGAGTACCAGCCCTGGCAGCTGGAAAAACATGGTGAGCATGTGAGCATGGCCCAAATCCCAACAGGATGGAGAAATGGAGGAGAAGGGGTTGTGGCATGACTATGCTGCACTGGGGGCAGGGGGGCTTTCCTTCCTCCTCTCTCTGTTTCTCTCCAGTGTGCACACAATCCCTCTGGTGCAAACAAAGAAACAAAACTAAAAGTCCCATTACTTTAGGAGGGGACTTCAAAGTTTATGAAAAATGAAATTAAAGTATAAGTGTACTTTGGTGCAAAAAATGTTGAAATCAGTGTTTTTTTCCCAGTATGCATTATCCATAAGCTTTTCTTTTTTTGTGCATAGGCTTGTCAGAGAGAGACAGAGAAAGGGAGGAGGTGAGAAAAAACGATCTCCCATGGAGGATGGTTACACTAAATCTCTTCTCCTATCTCTCTCCCTCTTTTTTGGAATTTTGGGCACACACGCACACATGCCCAGCCTGCTTCTCAATTCCCTGGGTCTTGAAATGCATGGTGGGCCATGTGGTATCCAGTTGCCTTAATCACCAGGCCATGGAGCTGGCCTCAAACTTTTTTCTTTTTTTTAATGCCAGAGAGTACATTCATACACTGGGAAGAGGAAGAAGGGAGGAGAGAAAGCACTCCCCCTCCCTCCCCAATAGGGCCTGTTCACACTGAAATCCCCCTTCCTCCAAAATGACTGTACAGACAGTCTGGGATGACAACAAGGCATAGAGCACCCTTTGGACTGCAGGCCTGCATCCCACACAAGGAAATCCCGTGAGAGCTCACTTAATCTGTGCTGCTTAATTTTAATGAGTTAGACTCTACAAAGACCCATGGGAGCTGTATACCCACTTCCATTCTAGACCATGAACCCAGGGAATGATATTCAAAACACAAACTTAACTCAAATGATATAATTCAATGTTTTAGTGATAATAAGGCAAGTTATTAGAGCTTTTGGAACATTAGAAAGACAAATGCAAAGAGAATAATTTTCAGTGTTGTCACTGATCATCTCAAAACGTAGCAATGGATTCTCTTTAGTCTGTGCTCCTTTGCAGCTGGGACATACGGCAGGCCTTCTCTTCTAGCTCAGTGGATTCATTTGGAAATAACATGGATGACATGTTTTGACCATGGTGTGTATGGTTCAGGAAGGCAGCCTGGTTACAAACACCTTGCCCCTGGTGCGGTTGACCCCACAGCCCCACTTTGTACCTGCACACCTTCCCCTTATCATGTAATTCTGCTCTGCACCAGATGAACTGTCTTAAAGCATATGTTTTCTCCCCTCACTCTTTGTTCAAAATCTATGATGACCATTTATCAAGTCAAGGATATGTTCTTTGGCCTGGGCATTGGAGTATTCCACCATTACTATGTAGAAAACTCTTATTTTCTATTATTCACCTGTAAGAATCCTCTACTCCAGTTTTCCAGTCTGTTTTCCTACAGAGTCATGGTTCATGATATCCTATAAACCCTTAGCTTTCCCTTCTCTGGAACCTTTCTGACTCCTAGCTGAGTTCTTCTCATTCTCTGCATTCCGCCTTTTTATCAAGGAGCTGCTTAACAGCACCAATCCATACTCAAGTCCACATTCCCTCAATACCTACAAACCTTGGGAAGAGTGCCCACAGCTGAATCCTTCAGCTGATTACACATGGGTCTTATACTAGGAAACCTTCATGTGACAGGTTTGGTATCCAACACACATTTCCTCCCAAAATGACTAATCTCTTCTTGCTAATAGCTTGTGCTTCCCTCATGTCGAAAATCTTTTACTGGAAGTCTATGACCCTTTCAATTACTACTGTTTTTTTGCTTCTTCCCATGACTGCTGAACTTCTCAAGCAGCATGACTTGCAATGTTTGTGAGTTGTTTCTACTTCATCTCCTAGTGAAAACTTCTCCCTCAACATCTAAAGTCACTCATGATCTCTTCTGAGCTAACTTCACAAATATGCTATACCTGGCCCTCCAAACTACCCCTTCCTTCTTTTAACTGCTTTTTTCTATTAAGCTTCTGATATTCTATATCAGGCTTCTCCTAAAAACATTTATTGAAAATTTCTGATTATTTAAAACAAACTATACAAAATAAAATTCTCTACCTCCTAGACGTTTATAGTCTAGTTGTGGAGAGGACTTCACACATTCAACAATTAAACATGCAAACCATGGCGTGGTTAAGGGCAGAAGAACCCAAGAGATGAATGAAAAATATCTGTTCATATCATAGGGCAGCTGAAGATCTACTAAAGGGAAATAGATTTGAGGTGGGCCTTGAGGGCAAACATATTAAACAAGCAAAAGATAAAAGGATACCCATTGCTGGCATAGGGCATCATAGTATTGTTGTAGGGCAGTTGGCAGTGTGTATTCGGAAGGCAAGGGAGTAAACCAGAGGTAGAGTTTGTTGAATGAATTGTGGTGTAACTCCTGAAGTCCAGAAATCAGCTTCCATTACCAGGGAAGCAACAACCATGCTTTTGCCTTTCTCCCATCTTCCAAATATCATGAAAGTGCTTGTCACTGGTAAACTCCAAACTGAGACCTTCTGGCAATAAATCCCAGGCAAGGTAGTTACCAGGCTTCTAGCCCCTGCAACATAGTATGGAGTAGGCATGGTGCTGAACAGCCAATGGACAATCCAGCACAGTGACTGAGTTGGATATGGGAAAAGTCAAAGGTAATGCTAGTTTCAAGGTTGGTTGCTTAAAGCACTATGGACGGCACTGAAGAGTAACAAGAATTCTGAGTAGGATTTGAAGATCTGTCTTTGAAGGTGTAATGTCTGAAATATTAATGTAATATTTAAGTGGACATATACTACAGGAAGCTCTTGGAAAGTCACATTTGGAATTTCAGGGAAGATTTTAGAACTGGATATAGATATTGAGAGTTTAACTGTTAGGGTGATAGATGAAGTTGTGTGATGAGATTAATTCACTCGGGGCAAAGCGTAGAGAGGAAGAACAGGGAACTGAAGACTAAGTTTAGGGTGAAGGAGGAAGGGAAGGCATCAATAGACACAGAAAAGAAAGTCCATTTTCATTCATTCCATTTAGTTTCCATTTCATGAACAGCTTTTTCTGTTTCTTTTGAAGATCTCAGTTACTTTTTACTACTCTTGTCTGTTTGTTTTAGAGAGAGAGATCTTTGCTATAGAGTGCATGTGCTCGCAGAAGAGACAGAGAGACGGAAGGCGAGAAATCACTCCCCAGGGATGGCCATGCTGCAATCCCTTCTCCTCCATTATCCTCTCTGGATTTTAGACACACATATACATGCGCCCGGCATGAGTTTTAAGCTGACGGGTCTAGGACTTGAACTGTGGTCGACCTTATGGTAGTTCAGTGACATAACCAATGCATCATCCTCTGCTCCCACTTTTTACAACTCTTAAACTATTATTCCTTTCCAATGCTAAAGCTCAAGTTCTCTATTTTTCCAATAAATATTTATCATCCCAGTGGACTCGGATGCTTATACACAGTGCCATTTTCTACTTGATTATAGATAATTCTAAGTCCATACCTCCAGCCCCTGCTGTTATTTTTCTTGCTCACACTTGCCAAAACCCATAACCTAAGGTCACATTTGATCTCACCTTCTCCCAATCTGTACTTGGTCCCACCTATGTCAGTTACTATTGGTGTCAGGTCTACTTCCATGCCTCCGACTGGTCCTCTGAATCCCTTCTTGAGCTCCTCTAATCCTTTCTCCACTCTTACACAGTACTTGGAATTACAGTCTACGTTGTGGGCTTAATGATTGGAACTCATTAGCTGTGAATAATTCTTTTTCTTTTTTAAAAATAATGATTTATTTATTTAATTCCATTTGTTATTATTATTTTCCAATTTGATCAGAAAGAGACAGAGAGAGAAAGAGAGAAAAGGAAAGCAAGAAAGCAAGCTGCCAGGTCCAGGACTTGAACCATGGTCGACCATGTGGGAATCCAGCACTTTTATCCACCATGCCATCTGCCAGCCCCAGCTGTGAAGAATTCTAGAAACAGGAATATCGAGGGCAAAGGCTTCCAGACTTTTCTGGCTATAATGCATTATAAGAAATACACTGTATACCAGGGCACGCACACACAAAATAAAACATTCATGAATCAATAGTTACTCTTACTTCATAGGATATAGGCTGATATCTTCAACATTATCCTTCCCTAGTCACTATTCCTTTTAAAAAAGATTGTGACCGGGAACCAGCAGTTAGCGTAATGGCTATGTCGCTGGACTCCCACGTAGTCGACCATGGTTTGCCTCCCGGACCCGGTGGCTTAAAACTCACGCCAGGTACGTGTGCGTGCGTGCCCAAGATCCCGAGAGGAGAATGGAGGAGAAGGGATTGTGGTGTGATCATCCCCCCTGGGGGGTGATTTCTCGCTTTCTGTCTCTCTGTCTCTCTCTGTCTGGCGAGCGCACGTGCCCCATAGCAAAAACGATTGTGACTGATCAGTTAAGTCTATTTCATAACTCACTATGGGTCATCCCCTGTATACTGGTTTAGAAAGTAGCTTATAAGGTTGCTTCTTTGAAGTCTAGGTTTAACTCCCTGTTTGAGACCGACAACACTGCTCCCCTTGAGCGACACTAGACTGAGTGCCAGGAAAGACTATTCGATCACTGCATTATATAAAAGTCAGATGAAGTTTATTCAGTTTTGGCCTCACCACACGACATGCATAAGTAAAATAATAATAAAAAATATTTTTTCTTCAATCCTAACAAACCAGCACCTGGTATCCAATTTGCAGCAATGGTGGTTTTGGGCATCAGACGGGCAGGTGGAGATCCTGACAGTCTCCCTTCTCCCCCTTATTTAAAGAAAACAGTATCCTCCCCAAAAGAAGGAAAGGAGAAAAAGGAAGTGCTACCTGAACAAAAGCCTTTGTCCTGGCTCCTTCCTGATAATGTTTAGTTTGTAGTAGTGGCGCAGGGCTCTGGACATTTTCTCATAGGTCATGTTTGTTCTGTTCTGTTTGTTCAAAGGAGGAAGAGAGGAAAAAAAGCACAAAGACACAATGAAATGAACCTTAGAAAAGGCACTGGGGGAGCTATTAAAATAAAAGCCCTTCGGCTGCTCCACAGGGCCCTGCCAGCTGGGGAAGCTACCTGCTAATCTGTTGACTTCCAGGACTGTTCGTCCCACCCCTTGGCTTCACCCACACCCTTCCCAGTCCAGGTTTTCCCCTTGGGTGAATCGCTCTTTGTCAGAAGTCTTGGCGCTCTGGCAAATAAAGTGTGTCCCATAGCAACCTGCCTCCCTTCCCTTCTCCAAGACTGCTCTCCACTGCGCCTGAGGAATTTCCTGCAGGTTCCCCCTATCTCTGGGTCATCCTTCACCTTCTGACCCAATCAGAATTTCTTTTTTTGTTGCAGTGACCTTTCTCAAACTTGTGTTTCTGGTCTGTCATTTCAAGGAAGAGAGTTTTTTGTTCCAGTTCCTGTTGTGGAAGCAAAGACACAGTGGTTGGGAGCCCTGGGGCTAGGGCACAGGCCGGTGGTGCAGGGGGATTTCTCTCAGTGACTCACACACTGTCTGGAGTGGGGTCTTGCCATATTTGGTCATGGCCCGCATTAGGCTCTCTCAGTGAGGCTGAGCCTGCTTGGAAGGCTGAAGCCTGGGAGAGCTCGCTGGGCCTCCCTGACCTCAACTCGGTGGGCTGTGCCACTGTGGGGCCCTCAGCCCCTGTACGAGGCCTGTCGTTTGGCCTGGATGGAGGTCCCACTTTGAACATCTGGACACTTTATCTTTCTTACCATAAAAGACTTTATGTTGTAAATTCCATTCCCTCCTTCCAGTTTGTAAAACTGTGGGTCAGTTAAACTTTTTTGCACTGTTTGTTGAAAAGGGGCTGTTTTATAATCAGAATATGTTTTCCACGCAGAAATAGGCTTTTATGAACACAGGAGTTTCACTGCCCAAAGGTCCCATGTGAGTCAGAGAGTTTCCCAGGACTTCCCGGTTACCCAGTTCCTAATGACAGCAAGGGCGGCTGGGCCAGGCCGGTGAGCGGGGGAGTGGAAAGAGGGTTACTCGCATGCAGACCCACAACCCAGGACGTGCCAAGGTAATGGACATCTGGCTTAAGGGACGCACGGGAAGGGGCATCTTTAATGATTCCCTTCCCGTTGCTACTGTTTAACTGGTTGCTCGGTGAGGAATCAACTGAATAATTATGGGCAGACTGAGGACGCAGAAGACAGACCGTGACCCCCAGTCTGAGGGTGCTGTGCTCTGGCACTCGTTACAGAGCAGATACCTGGCGCCCTTTTACCTTATGGTTTCCCCACAGTCGGGCCAGTCCATTGGGATCCACTATCCGGAATATTTTGGATTCTTTGTCCTCCCATCGGATGAAGTTTTCGTACCGGCTGTCAGAAAGCAACTGATAGACGTAATCCCAGAGCAGTCTACAATCTACAGAGGAAAAGGCAAGGAAACACCGTTGAGATGTGTCTTGTTCAGGCCCTAACAAGAATCAGAAAAGAACCTGGTAACCACTTTGCCTAGTTTGGATCATCTATTTTGTTCCACAGTCGGGGAACTTAGGTCTGGAGAGTTCCAGTGAGACCGTGTTAGAGAAGTGTGACCTTTGCCCTGTGGTGGCCTAAGAGATCACCCAGGCCTGCTGCCTCCTTTTCTTGCATAGACAAGGGCATGGGACCAGGGAGGAAGCAAAGTGCCCTCGGCCACGGCCAAAGGTTGAACTTGAGGACCAGCCCCGTAGCACCGTGGTTAGGATAGTACCAATGGAGCTGGATCCCACATGGCCAACCATGGTTCTAGTCCTGGCCCTGGTGTCATGTGTGCATGGCCCAAATCCTGATGGGATGAGAAATGGAGGAAAGGGGCTGGGATGTGACTGCATCTCACTGGAGGGTGCTTTCTTTCACTCTGTCTCCCTGGTAAGCACACGTGCCCTCTGGCAATTAGAGAAAAACAAAAACTAATCCTCTTCCCAAAACAAAACACTTGAATTTGAGCAAAGCTCATATGAAAGAGAGGGAGCAAGCAATACGTATGAACAAACTAGCTCTGCAAGTGGGCTAAAAGAGAGTCCTGCTACTGCAAAGAGAACGATGTGACTAAAATAGTGGGAATGGGCCAGCAGATGATGTGGAGGTTAAGGTGCTGGATCCCACATGGCCAGCTGCATGGTTGGAGTCCTGGACCTGGCAGCTGGAAAATTACGCTGGGCACATGTGCACCTGTGCCCAAAATCCCAAGGGGAGAATGGAGAAGAAGGCATTATAGCATGGCCACCCCGGGAGGTGACTTCTCACTTTTCCTCTCTCTGTCTCTCTGGCGAGCACATGTGCCCTATAGCAAATACTAAACACACACACACACACACTCATAAACCAAAACATGTGGGGGTTAAAAGATGATTTTCATGTTGGTGATGCTGAACTTACAAAGATGAGAAGACCGGGGTGGGGAAAAACAGAATGACGAGTGGAAAAGAAAAACTATGTGGCTTGGTGACGCTGACTGTGGGAACTGTGGCGAGCACGGTTTTAAAAAGCAACACAGACACTCTCATTATGTAACACTCTTGGAGGTCTTGTAATTGTTTGATTATAATGGAAGCATGGTAAAAAGGAACGCAGCGAGAAAAAAGGACCGACTGACGTTCGGTCCTTTGCTCAGGCAGCAAGTATCTACTAAGTGATTTAGTGTGGCCCGGGCACTGTGCAGAAAAAAGACTTCCTCTGTTCAGAACTGACGTTCGGTCCTTTGCTCAGGCAGCAAGTATCTACTAAGTGATTTAGTGTGGCCCGGGCACTGTGCCTGGCCTAGGCTGTCGGCCACAGATGGATTATATAAGATAGGAGATGTTGGGCTGGTAGGTAGATGGTGGTTAAGGTGTTGGACTCCCACATGGCTGACTGTGGTTTGAGTCCTGGACCCGACGGCCTATTATGTTGGGCGTGTGTGAATGTGTGCCCCAAATCCCAAAAGGAGAATGAAGAAGGGATTGTGGCATGACCATTCTCCCTGGGGTGTGATTTCTCACTTTCCCTCTCTTTCTCTCTCCAAGCACATGTGCCCTATGTCAAAGACTTAAAAAAAAAAAAAAGAAAAAGAAAAAGAAAAAGAAAAAAAAGACAGAGTGAGATGCAGACCTTGTCCTGGCTCTACTGCTTTCTCATGCTGTAACGCCTTGTGGTTTGCCCTCCTGGAGGGCCTGGACAAGTAGGTGCAGATGGACATGTACTTTTTAGGTTTGTGGATGCTGGACCAGTCTCAGGATGAGACCACAAGGCATCTGTTCCAGGTGTTCGCTGTATGATCCTGGGAGTCTCCAGATAGGCACCAGTCAGAATAACTGGTAGTGGGAGATCAATCCTTGAATGCCAGAGTATGTGTTCAGCACTTTTCATTGACTACTAATACTTCTAATCTTCACCGAGGTTGGCCTACATTGCCTGAGATCACTGGGATTTGAACTCCAGGCTCCTGCTCTGTCCTAGGTCAGCCTGGCACACTTAGGAGGGGAGTGTCCAACTGAGACTTGGACTGTCTTAGAGCCAATGCATTCACTTCCCAGAGAATCGTACCCATCTTTGGGGTATATTTACAAGGCAGATTCAGTCAGGCCACCCTGGACATGTTTCTTAATCAACCTGAGATTCTGTTTGATCATTTATCAAACAGAATGACAACCCTTCCTTTACAGGATTATTGTATTAGTGATAATGTGAGTGAAGAGCGAGTAATGAAAGTAAATGACACGATTTATTGGGTGCTATTTGCAGGTGCTGTGCTGTGTATTCCGAGCACAGTTACACCTGACCTTTACAGCACCATATGCAGCAGGTGCTGTCGCTGTTCCTATTTGACAGACCAGTAAGCCGAGGCTGAGAGGGTCTGGGAATAATGGCACCACCTGAAAGTGACACAGGTGAGAATCCAGGACGATGAAACCCAAGCTATGCTCCAGTTCCCAGTGTGATTTCCATGCTCAGAGAAATTGGTTAACAGGTATACATTTGCAGAATCTTTGGAATTTCCAGAGCAAAGTTGACCTCTGCTTAGGGCACCCTTTGTGAATCCAGCTTTCTCTCTGAGCAGTAGAAGGAGCTAGTATCAAACGTGGCATTTTCCAGGAAGCATAATCTTTCAAGGAACTACCATCACGTTTACAATGGGTATTTACTGTACCCTTTCTTCCGTACTGTGTTTAAAAGTGAATATGGGGTGTGATTTGTTGTGTTTTAGTAAAGGACAAGTGGTGTCCTTAAAACAATGATACCACAGTCTTAGAGTCTAACACATTCTAACAACAGAAGCTGGCCGGTCACTTGTTTCTGCCCTTACGGCAACCTTCTTTGCTGCCAAAGGGTTGCGTTTGGGAGACACAGGAGGGGAACCGATCCAGGCATCATGAAGTTCCTTGACAAGTCAGTGCCTAATTACTACAGACTGAAAATAATCTAGCTATCTTTCCAGCCCCTTGAAAGAGGACGACCAGATTCTAGACAAAGCAGTGAAAGAGGCGATTTATCTTTATCCCAAGAAGCCACTTTCTTATTTTGCATTACTTTCAATATAAACTGCTATGGTCTGAATGTTCACATTCCCCACAACTCTTAACGTGTTCCTAACTTTCAGAGGGACAGATTAGGGGTGGGGCCTTTGGGAGGTGGATAAGTCATGGTGGCTCCACCCTTATGAATGGGAGCAACACCCTTGTAAATAAGGCCTGAGCGAGACAGCAAGAAGGTACTATGAACCAGAAAGTGGGCCTGTTCCAGAGGTCAAACTGGCCAACCCCTTGATCTCGGACTTCCTAGTGTCCAGAACTGCGAGAAATAAATCTCTGTTCTTTATAAACTATCCAGTTTATGGTATACTATTATTAGCCAAATAAGGCAAGAACTGAACTGCGGCTTATGTGCCCAGTTACTGCTCTACCGTCAAATGGCAGGTATATTTTAATTTCCCACAATCCCTTCTGACTGGAAAACATATGACCAAACCAAACCCTGTCACATAAAATGCAAGTGAATTAGGAGGGACAAAGGTGCTTTTGCCCGTTAGCCCTCCCTTATCTCCCTGTAGGGCTACAATCACGTTCACTGCAAAATGGTTGTCAGCGCCTTTGGATTCTTCTAGAAGGGGAATATGATTCTTGAGTGTGCTCATTTTAATAAAAATCAGCAATAAGGAAACTACCTGGTTGTTTTTATAGTTTGGTACCAGAATTTTGCCTATGTGAAGGTGAACAATATACTGACGGGCCTCATGGCTCCAGGCAGAAGATGTTCCACCCAGCGACTTGCAGTGGAGCTGAAATATAACGGACCTGGTTCTCCTGTAGTCCGCATCTGCCTGAGAGTTTTCACTGTGCTGTCTCTGTTCTCTTATTATCATGGTACATTCTGTTTCTCAAAAAACAGTGAAATGTGAACCACACGGTTTCTCCACATACTGGCTTAGCCAGCATGAGGGTTGATTTTTCAAAGGCATCAAACTGGGATCTAGAATGTTATCTATTCTTTGGATGGCAAATGAAGGGCGAGGTTTACCAAAGAACAGATTTTAACTCAAAGCTTCAAGATCATTTGTGTCTCGCAAACATTTTCCTTTCACAAATGTGGAAATAATCCCAATCAAGCTGCCAATTGATCATTTTGAATGACATTTAATCCAGCAAAGCCAACTTAAGCTGAGTAATAACAAGATGTTGACATTCAAGACATATTGAATTACTCAGTCACTAATGGATGTAACAACAGGAATCTTGTGGCAAAAGAGTTGTTTCAAGCTCAGTATATAAATGGCTTTTATAACACTATTGATTGCTTTGTTTCTTTAGTTAAAAATTATACTCAGATGATAAATATAACTGCCTGACCACACAACAGGTTTTTTTTTCCCTTTAAACAACTGAACTGCTAGCCATGTAAGTTATTTTTGTTTTTAAGATCTCCATTAAAGACCAAGTTGTTTTTTTTTTTTTTTTTTTTTTAGATTTCTATTAAATAAGAGGCAGATCATCTTTAGTTCCCTAGATCCTCTGGAGGCTGTTATCATAGCCCACCTGGTGCCTTTCCACTTTGTTGAAATCCATGCCTGCATACGAAGTTCTCTGACCATCAAAGAAAATGTTTAGTATTATATAACTCAACGAATTCTTCTTTTTTTTTTTTTTTTGCAAGGAGGCACGTGTGCTCACAAGAGAGGGACAGAGAGACACAGAAGAAGCACTAGCAACCCCCATGGGGTGCAGTCATGCCACAATCCCTTTTCCTCCACCTCTCCACCCTCTGGGGATTTGGGGGTACATGTGCACTCACACCTGGTATGTTCTACAAGCTTCCCAGTCTTTGATTCAAACCGCCTGGTCGGTTATGTGGAATTTGGGTATCTTAATCATCAGGCCACAGAGCTAGCTCTGGAAATCACCCAAT